GAGGGGGTTAACGTCTCCCCCGGGGAATTCCTTTGGAGACGTTTCTCCAGCTCGTTTTGGGGGGGGAATCAACTCTTCGGGGGCGGTTTCGATCGGGTGGAGACCCAGCCCGGGGTGGGGGAGCCGTGTCCCGGGAGGACCCCAGAAATAGCGTCTTTTTTGGGTGCCTTTTCCTAAATTCCGTCGTCTTCCGTGTCGCTACGTTTCCCTTTCCTTCCCTCTGATTTAATTTTAGGATATTGCCGGTTTATCCCATTTCAGCCCCTTTCGTCGTTAGTTTTCAGCTGATCCTCTCTGCTTTTTAGCGTAACTCGCTGCCATTTCCTTCTGCTCCCTCCTCTCCTACTTAACGGATTTCCTTTCGTTTAATTTGCCTTTGGTTTTCATCGGCTTTTCCCCCTCTTCCTTTCCTTCATTTCCTTTCCCTGCGGTAGGAATCCGTACTGCTCATTTCCCATTTCATCCGTTACGCCATTTCGAGGCCTTTAGATGGTTTTAGGGTATTCCTCCTTATTTCTTTTCACCATATTTGGTATAAATTAAACTAATTTCATCTTATCTCCCCTCCCCCTGCCCTTCCCTCCTCTGCTGCCCCTTTTTGTTCCCATTTCTTAGGACAGGACCCAGGTGTCCAGAAGAGGATTCGGGTGTCCAGGACCACCATGATGTCCAGGAGACCATCCAGATGTCCGGGAGAGGACCCAGATGCCCTGGAGACCCCCCAGGCCTATGGGAGAGGATCCAGGCACTCCTGAGGGGATGCCGGTGCCCAGGAGGGGACTTGGGTGCTCAGGAGAAGACCCAGGTGTCCAGAAGATGTAGGTGCTTAGGAAGGGACTTGGGTGTTCAGGAGAAGACCCAGGCACCTGGGAGGGGACCCAGGTGTCCAGGAGAGGACTCAGGCCCTCGTGAGAGGTCCAAGGTGCCAAGGAGATGACCCAGATGTCCAGGGGGGAACCCACACCTCCAGGAGGGGACCCAGACCTCCAGGAGGGGACCCAGACCTCCAGGAGGGGACCCAGACCTCCAGAGGAGGCCACGGGTACTGGGTACCTTCTGGGGAGGTGGTGGCCCCCCATCCCGAGGTGATGCAGGTGGTGCCGGGCTCTGGGAGGCAGGAGGCCACGGGGACGGGCTGGATCCTGCTGGTGAGGGTGACAGGCGTCAGGAGCTTCATCATCATGATGTCGTTGTCCTTGGTGGTGGGGTCATAGTTGGGGTGTGGCACAAACTTCTGCACCATCTTCTGCACCTCGCCCCACTCCCGCATGTAGAGGTTGTGCTTGCCCAGGTGGATGGCGGTGATCCTACGGCAGGCGGGAGGGACGCGTGGGCCATGCAGCGAGGGGGCTAGGACCACAAGACCATGGCCCACGTGTGGGGCTTGGAGACCACAACGTAGCCACGGCACTTGTGGGGCATGACATGGCTGGG